CACTCTCTTCTCTCTCTCCCCCTCTCTTCTCTCTCCTCTCCCCTCTCTCTTCTCCCCTCTCTCTTCTCTCCTCTCCCTCCTCTCCTCTCTCTCCCTCTCTCACTCTCTACTCTCACTCTCTCCCTCTCCCCCCTCTCTCTTTCTCTCTCTCTCTCTTTATTTTATACTGTATGTTACATTTCCTGTTAAACACCCACCTGCTTGGTGTACGGCTTAACCTAACTGGAGTTATAGTTAATCATTAGCCTTGTTATCATTGTAATTATATGGCACCTGTTTGCAGGAGACCTGAGTTGGGTTTGAGGAGCTGAGATATAAGATAGCCAAGGCGCTCATAGCATAGCATGCCTTTAACCCATTACCTCCCTTGTCTCTGGCTGCCAAACTGTGCTGCTACGGCCTTCTTACTTTTATACACAACTGTTTGATGACCGTGGCAAACAGCTGTAGCGTTTGATAGCCATTAGCGTCCTGCTTTGCTTCATCATGCTATACTGAAGCTCATTAGCTTGATCTGTGATTGTTCTTGATCTTCGTTGAATTCATAAAATTGATGTTTAGGTGGTTTTTTTTTTGAGGTTTCCAGCTTCTGAAAGACAGCAATGCTCATGTTTCTTTCCCATTTATTTCAGGTCACTCACAAGGACCACCAACTCCACCGACCACCCCGAAAACAGACGTCCAGCCCGGTAAACCAGATCTGAAACGCGAAGCACGCCCCCTGCAGGAGAGCGGCCGCCAGCCTCCTCACATTGATTTCCGCGATGTGGACATTGGGGAGCTAAGCAGCGAGGTCATCTCCAACATCGAGACCTTTGACGTCAATGAGTTCGACCAGTACCTGCCGCCCAACGGCCATCCCGGAGTGGCCTCCACTCAGGTGACCTACACGGGCAGCTACGGCATCAGCAGCGCCACCAGTGGTCCGGCTGGAGCTGGGCACGCGTGGATGTCCAAACAGCCACAACAGCCACCTCCACAGCCCCAGCAGCAGCACGGTTTATCGACTCTCAACAACGAGCAGAGCCAGTCCCAGCAGAGGACACACATCAAAACTGAGCAGCTTAGCCCCAGTCACTACAGCGACCAGCAGCAACAACATTCCCCGCAGCAACTCAACTACACATCTTTCAACCTCCAGCATTACGGGTCTTCCTACCCAACAATCACACGCACGCAGTATGACTACGCCGAACACCAAGGCTCAAACTCCTACTACAGTCACGCCGCGGGCCAAAGCTCGAGCCTCTACTCAACGTTCAGCTACATGAACCCCAGCCAACGTCCCATGTACACACCCATTGCAGACACAACAGGGGTCCCATCCATCCCACAGACCCACAGCCCCCAACACTGGGAGCAGCCGGTCTACACACAGCTGACCAGGCCGTAGATAATGGACTATTGACTACTGACTTTTCAGGACAGTTCGCCCTCCACGAGTCAAGCGGTGCCCTCTTCTCAGGCGTGGCACAACGCCCTCTGCTGGCAGCCAGCAAAACAAAAACAAAATGGGTGTCACTCTTCTTTAAAGTACTTTCTGGTCTCCCGTCTCCACAGATGAAACACGAGAAGATACTTTTGATAACCGTCAACTTGATTCTCTAAGAGACTTTGAAACAAAAACAAACTCTACATCCTCTGTGAGGACTAGACTCAATCTGATATATTTTAGTATGTACTGTGTATGTTTTATTACATTTTTATTGGGGGTTTATACATTTATATTTTAGAGAAAAAAACAAATACATTGTAAGGATAAAAAGTAAAAAAAAAAAAAATTTTGCGTATTAAAAAAAAAAAAAAAAAAATGTTCACTTGGCCATAAGTGAGACGGCCGATAAAACCGCAACAAGATTTGTTGTTACGAATTGCGTTGAAGTAGGAATTTTATTTTCCACGTTCGTTCCCAAGTGCCGGTTGTTGAGCGTTGCGGTCAGAGGTGACCGTTCACAAGATGCCTGTTATAATATTATGGGATTTGCTTTTATTTTATTTTTTTTTGTTCCTTTTCTCTCCTGTTTCCTTTGTGTTCTAAGTTCTATTATCTAACTGTTAAAGTAGCGGATTCACAAATTTCCATACAAAACAGCAAAGCAAATACTGAGATTTTTTATTTTTTTTAACCAAAGCCCCCGGAAAATGTGTTTTTCAACTTTTTTTTTTTTTAAAGCTTTTTTACACTTAAAATATATATATTTTTCAATTGACGCGTGGAAACAAAAAAAGAAACATGTTCATGGATCGGGTCTTTTCTCGAACGCAGAGGAAATCACTTCGACTTTGGCAAATGGTTTTTTGTTTAACTTTTTGCTAGAAACAACGTGTACATTTTTGCTTTTCAGAAATGTGATTTTTTTTTTTTTTTTTAATAATTTGTCGTTGCGCCATTCAGCACTCCAAAATCGACGACTTTTGAGGCAAAATACAAAAGTAAAATAAAAACTACGAGCCTTACAAATTTCCTTTAACTTAAAAAAAAAACCACCACAAAGCAGACCTCCGGAGTCTGTGGATCTTCTTCTCAATGATGTGCTTTTTTTTTTTTTTTGTTTTGTTTTGTTTCTATTGTTATTTTCTGTCTTTGTTAAACTTATCTTCTTGTGTATTATTTGTTCCGCAATAAATATAATACAATGTAACGAATGTTCAGCGGTCGTTCCTGTTCCCGTGTCTGTTGCTGAAAGTGAGCCTAGTGTTACATATCCTTTCATAGCAAGTGCGTGCGTGCTACGTTATATGTCAGTGTGACACTTCCAGGTGTGTATTACCTCTCGCAGAGATCACAGGACTCCCCCTGACAATGTTTTCATCAGCTTTTCCTCTCTAGAAGGACGGCACCATCTGTGTTCAGGAATCACCCAGGGCTACCATCTACTTCCTGGACTGATATACCTCCTTAGAGATGACGCAGTCATGTAAATCCCGGTGGCGGTGCAGTTCTGTGTTCACAAACCTCTCACACAGATGGGGCCCCGCTACAGCCTATCGCCCTGTGACTGGATACAAAGTTACAATGTTGCAGTCTGATCACTGTGGGGGGGGGGGGGGGGGGGGGGG